TTTTACCGACAGGAAATCAAACATACATTCAGAATAAACCAACTTTCTGAAATTTGTAAAAATCTTACCTGTAGATCCGAACAATTCTTTGGTGAGGAAACAATTTGTTCTACGATTCATTTGTTTGTTTCGATGTTAATTTGACACTAGCGTTTTTAGCACGTAAGGGGAGTCAGTGAGGTTTCATCTTATTTCTTAAACAGCCCGTAAAGGAAGGGGATATGCTCTTTCTGCGAGCGTTTGCTCCGGGCACGTTGGATTCGTGGGGCATAGTAAATGAACTGTGAAGGATTTTTAATCTTAACTTCAATTATAGAAACTAAAAATATTTGCAAAACTATTTTAAAAAGATATTTTGCAGCGCCACCAGCTCCATCGGATTTAACAGAAGAGCAGTCATTCCCGCATGCAATTGAAATTTCATTCTTGCCACCATCACCACCGCACGGTATCATCAACGAATACAGAATAAGACACACTCCGTCTGATCAGGTGAACGCTTTTTCATTATTTATCCTCTACCGCTGTGACGATCTGATGTTGTAATGGATCAATGAAGTTATTTTTCGCAGAAGGTAATGGAATACCCGAGGTTTGAGCACTTCGGTTTGCAAATTCACTCCCTTAAGTATGCTCTGATCGGTGCATGCAAGGGAAATGAAATAATCAAAGTTTGTTTCTCAAGCAATTTTTGAAAACAGAAAGAACAGCCAGTAGCTTTATCAATGGGAATTACTGACATCATGAAACGTTATTACCTACAGTTGAAAATAAGTCGAACGAAAGTTTTTAAGCCTCATTTACATCATATCTAACGATCTATTGTACGAGTTATCTAAGTTTTTATTTTTGAAAATCCGAATTATTTTGCAAAAAAAGTGAATAAATGTTTCAGTTTCGGTGAACTTGTCCGTATTTAAAATTTGATTATCCAAATGTTTTGAAACTAAAATCATGATAACCATATAACACTTACCGTGTCCCACATTTTCTTTTAAAAGATAATTAGGAAAATCGTATTTCGACAAAATCCAAAATTTCCTGAAAAATTTATGCTCATTTTTTAAATGAAATGATTTGTTAGTGATTTATTTGAGGTTTTGATTACGTTCAATCTTATAGTTGAACTACAAAGAAGTTCGAGTTCACGGAAGCCGACTGCAGTGCTCAGATGCATCAAAACGTGACCGACTGTGTTATCGCGTTGTGGACCTGGAACCAGAGCAGGAATATGATATTCAGGCAGCAGCACATACCGAAGGTGGTGCTTGGGGTGAATGGAGCGAGCCGATGAGTGCACGAACGCATGAACAAAGTAAAGCTTTTCTAGAAGAAACGAGCAGTGCTGATTTATTCTAGCAGTCCCATGAAAAGAATCTTACTTCTGAAAATTTCAGCTCGATTCCTCCTTGTCCAAATTTGTTAATATTTTTGAGTACAGCATGATTTTTCTTATATTTTTTTTTCGAAATGTGACGCTTATAAACTGATTTTCAGTGCTTCTTGGCTGAATTCTGCACCTTC